TTGAGATGTGTTTGTTTTGCACAGCAGGCTGCCTTTGGGGATGTTGCACAGCTCAGAGACCTTGGTCCCAGCCATGCCAGTGCATTAAACAGCATGTAAGGGTGTCCCTGAGCACAGGACAGAATTGTCCATATTGTTGAATCCTTAAAATGTTTTGATGGCATCTGTTTGATTGGGGCCATCTAGCTGTTTCCCATATCTTTCCTGGTGTGTACATTGCCCAGAAGTTTTACCATAGGCCAGGAACTTGTTTTGACATGTTGCCATGGTTCAGGGATCCTTCCCAGCAGACAACTTGCCAGGATGTTTTGGAAGGCAAGAGGTTTCACTGCTACAGGTGCAGACTGTTTCACAGCCCTTGGCCTGGGTCCCAGGCAGTTCCCCTGGGACTGTTTGTTTAGGGCTGCAGCTGTCAGTGCTGTAGCTGTGCTAACGTGGTGCTGTGCCACGGCTGATCAGCATGCCCAAGGAACCCAAGCACTGTGTGATGCTGGAGGAGCTGCATTGCTTGTGTGAGCCAGAGCTGTGAAATAGCCGTGTTCTTACCAAAGAAACAGGCTTACAGTGTTTTTAGGTACCACATTCAGCAACTGCAAGTTGCACTAGTAGATTTTGCTGGTATTCAGTGGAATAATTCCCTCTCTTGGATATTTTGACGTTCTGTATTACTAATCAGCAGTGGGAGATGCACACAGATCTCAGACGATTGTTCAATATCTTTTGTGCTCCTGATGCTCTTACCATGTCCAATAATCCACAAGTCTGATCCTTCAATGGTGGTAATAGGAACTGAGGTCCCACCTTTATCACAAGTTTCTGCATTCCTATTTTAATGTCTCTTGACATCTTCACAGCTCCTCTTTGCTGGTGGGCTGACCATTGAGCACACATTCTTCACAGACTGATATGTCTTTTGACTGAGCTATAAGCCTACCTTTTCAGTACCTCACACTGTTTCAATACCCTGTTTGATAATTTTTCTTCTCATTACATGCCTATAAAGGGAGAAGTCCTCTATTTGTTCACTTTCTGTTGTGGATGTTTTTTTTCCTTTTATCTATAATCCAACATCTATCAGAGGAAATAGCTTGCTGCAAGACCATGTAATAGACCTGGAACCTCTGAGCCCCAGTGTGGTCCCAGGTGTCACCATTAAAGCACATGAGTGCTGTACTCTTGAGTTATCCTATTGGGAAAACCCTCTTCCAAGGGAAATAATAGAAGGTAATACTCAGGATGTTTAAAACAGGAATGAAAAGAACAGAAAGGAACACAGTTACTTGATGTCCACAGAGCCTGTATGCCCCAGGAGATGTTTATTTCAGTACTTGACTTTTCTAATGCATGATTTTGTCAAAGGGAATGTTGTGTGTGTGCTGGTCTAACAAGCTTAAAAGACTTAGAGTAACTTCAGCATTTAGTATCCTAAATAGACAACTGTAAAGAAAAAAAATTAATTTATAAGATACTTAACAATGCATGACATGAATCAGAATTGTTTCTTCTAATATTTTGAGAACAATAATGATTTTGCTAGCACTGCTTTTTCTTTATTCTTAAGGACTAGATTCAAAGCAAAGAAAGAAGCTGGAGAAAGAACAAAAAGTGAATCAGGTTGTCTCTGAGAGCACACAGAGAGACTCATATTCATCCCATCTGATTTTAGACACACAGTCTAGGGTTCTATATTAGAAATGTGGTTTTCCTACATTAGAAATGTGGTTTCTGTAGGCTTCTTGTCTAGGCAACAGTCAGGAAGAGATACTTCAGACTTCTTTTTTCATTGGCGATAGAGGGAGCTTAGGAAGGGTACAGACCTCATTTTGGTACCTGAGGTTGACATAAGCCTTTGAGCCTAATTACCCTTTTTTAATTTGCGGATGTCAGTTTTGCAGCAAACATTAATTAAGTACTAGTGTGAACCATATTAGAACTACAAAAAAAAAAACAACAAACACCTGCTATACAATTATAAAGCCTATTAAAATGTGTATGTGCAATTAGTCTCCAAGCATACTGTTGTCTCCTCCTTTCTCACCCTCCATCTTTTTATTTTTCCACTTGTTTAATTTTTCAATCCAGCTTGTGCATAGACTGCTACTCCCTCAGTTCAGGACTCATTAGTTCTCCATGTCCTATAATGTGCCTGCAGCACTTTGGGATAATAAAATAACAGTGTGAAGTAATAGAATACTGTTCCAGCTTGCAGTAAGCAAAAGGCAAAATGTTGTCTCAGTTCCATCCGAAATACAAGCAGTGCAGATTCATTTTGAATTAGCTGCCAACTGCTAAACACAGATACATTGAAGGACAGCCCCAGGCTGTGTTCAAACAGAAGTGCAGACTAAATGAATTCTTGCTTGGGATGCTTGGAGGCAGCTGGATGTATATTGCTTGCCTCTAGGCTTATGAAGAGTGACATGTTACACAGTTTTCACACCCTTTCAAATATACATGGTGCCAAGTGACACTGATGTGACTTGCTGCTGAAAATACTATGTGGTTTTATGGGCTGCACAGCACCTTAGCCAGCCCCTGGCATAATTTTCCCTTGGTCCCTGCCCAGAGCCAGACCAGTGGTGTGTACATTGCTCAGAAGTAGGAACAAGAAGGTCTCCTTCCCTGCTTATGTTGATGTCCAGGCTTTAGAAAGATAAATTAGAATTTATCAGTCAGTAAAATTGCTCTGGTAAATTACAGGACTCAATGTGCTTCAGTGATCTCAGATCTAGGTGGAGGTTAGCAAAGCTTGGGGAAAGGGATGTGCTGCTGATAGTGGGCACAAAGAACACAGAATTCATGGGCCACAGGACATTTGGCAGAACTCACAAGATAAGGAAGAAACTTAATAAAGCAAATTAATTTCAGCAACTGTGCTGAAGTCAGCTCTAACTGGGTAGAAAAAAATTTCACTGGGGGAGAGGCTGACCACTGACTCCCAGCCCACTGACTCAGGAAACCCACTGACTCAAGAAGCAGGCTGATCTTGGCATGGGAAATGAGAGAATCATGTTGCCCACCAAAGCTAGAATACTGATCGGTAACAGAGCTGGATCACTGGTAGCCAAGGAGCCCTGATTTCTTTGCTTGCTAAAATGCATAAGTGGCATGGAGCTTTGATGATTGGGGACCCAGCCTGTTGTGGGCCACACCAGCTCCCTGCTTTGTACAAACTAGACAAAAGAAATGGGAATATCTCATCTTGGTGTGTAAATCGGTGCTGCACATGGGGCAGTGAGCCCACATCCAGGACAACAATGTCATTACTGCCCCTGCCCTTCCCAGCTACATTGGAGTCCTGGGGGTGATTGTTTGAGGGGTAGCACTTGATTCATGGAGGAGGTGTTGTGGAGCAGCTCTGTTATGGGGTGCCTGAGAGTGGCTGCTAATGATCTAAACCTATGGTCTCTGCCAATGGGACAAAAATGTGTCCTTGCTCCTTGGCCTTATCAAAGTGGCTGGGGGTACAGGATTAGCAAAGAGTAAGTCAGGGAGAGCTGCAAGCCCCCACAAGCAACTCTTTCCCCAGCATTGCCCAGATCTTTGCCAAAAACTTTGAAAACCTCATGGCACTTGATGGTATTGGTGTCATTTTTCATGAGTTTTGTGAAAAATTCAGGTTGTGTCCTCTTTTAGTAGTGCGGAATTGACAAGAGTTTGGGGTAGTTCCTCATAATTTTCTCACCTAACCAGTAGTTTTGGCATCTGATCTGCAGAGTACTGAGTAGAAAGCTCCGAAATATGGGGATAACTGTAATTTCTTTTTTCTTCTGCAGAGATATGTCTACATTAAAATCAAAAGCAGATACTATAGATATATGGGATTGATGTCCTTTATTCCCTTGGTTGCCTGAGAGCCTAGAGTATGAGCATATCCTAAGAATAGGCATAGATGGTATCTACTTCCACACACATCTCCTGGGAGTCAAGGCTCATGTGGTTTCTTTAATTTAACACAATGTTGCAAACGTGCTGCAACTATTATATAAAACAAGTATTTGGGCTTGAATCCAAGAGCTGTGTCAGGGCTCCCGAGCACTTTGCCTGTTCAGGGCACTGCAGGGCACACGTGCTGTATGTTTATGGTGGCAGGGTGCTCTGGTACAAGGGCTCTGTTTTGGGGACCCAGAAAGTGTGAGGGTAGAGGCTGTGTAGCTGTGAACTCCAAACCCAAACACTCAAAGCTTGGGTCTCAGCACTGGAAATTATTTTTTTTTTCTCCTTAAATATTAAGTGGTGGCATCTTTGTTTTACCTTATTATTTCTGATCTTCAGGACATAGAGGGGTTATGTTTTAATCAGTTCAGAATGGGGTTTTCAGGAGTTTGGGGTTATATGCAGCCAAAAAATTTAATTGCACTGCTGCTCAAAACATTCAGCTTCTCTGGCTTTCTCACAGATAATCCAGCATGCCCTGAACTAGAACCAATGGCTGTGTAATTTTATTGAGATGTCTTCAAGAGAAAAATGGTCTACTAAAGCAAAAAGCTTTATCATCTAAATGTTTATATTTTGGCATTCCCTTATCTGACAGTTGTAATTGTAGAACTATAAAAATTCTGCTCATCAAATAGATTTCTCTTAAAAAGAACTCCAAAAACATATTCTGCACAGCAGCATTTAGAGGACATAAAGTGAGGAAGGAGAGGAGCTGAGTCAAAGTCTAGTAGACTTCTACTCCTCACCTGTGTCTAAAGCGGACTATTTCTTTCTTATGGAGATCCTGCTGAGCTTTTATTTTCACACCTAGAATTAGGTAGCATGAATAACCCCTAGATAAAAGCATAGTTACTCCTTATACTTACATATTTTCAAAATTCACATGAGATGCCAGTTTTTCTGAAGCAGTGTTCAAAACCTGTTCTAGTTATTCTCTTAGCACAAAAATAATGCTAAATGGGCATTAAACTATATCAATAAGCACTGTGATTTCATTTTGGTAATTTTTTCATTATATCTTCTAGATTTAATACATTCTAATTAAAATCTTTGTCTTGCAGGTCTGAGTATAGCCGAATGTCCTCTACCAGCAGTGAGTATAACTTTGAGATTCTTTTTTTAAGTGGATTATTATATTTTCTTTTATTCTGCTTGCTAATATTTATTAACATCAACCTGGTGTTATTGACAGAGTTCACTTTGACACAGTAAAGCCTTCATCCCTTCTCTTCTTGGATCTATGTCTAGAAACAGTATAGAAAATTAAACTGTTTGAATATTTATGACCAAATACAAACCAAGTGTAAAGTCCTAAATATTGTCACTTGCAAGGATGCAAGGCAAAATGAGAACAAAATCTATAGACACAGTGTGGGCCAGTGTGAATGGGCCCTCAGGCCAAAGGAGTTTGCAGTGATGAATGTCATTGGAGCTGGGAATGCAGGAATAATTGAATGTTTATTGTAAGCAGATGCCAACAAAGCACTTCACAGCAACTCTAGTGAAGTCATTTTTTTTATTTCAGAGATGGTAGATGCTCTAGTAAGTGTCACAGTCTTGATAGATATTCACAATGCCAGTTGATTTTCAGGTTATCCAACTGATAAAAAACAAATTCTTGTGTCTGGATTATTTTTTCTTTATTTTCCACCAATGAAAAATGATGATTTTTTTTTTTTTTTGAAGCAACAAGGAACACTTTTTCACTCCACCTACTTCCTTAGTTGTAGAACGCACTGCATTCACAGCACTTTGGAATGCAATAATGCTTATTCATGCATGATTGCTGGTATCTCTCCTTGTCCAAGTGCAAAGTGATGTCTGTCTTCCTGATTCACACACAGACATGAGTTTTATTTATGCCAAGCAAGCACATCAAAAATTCCAAGATGACAAGTTGTGTTTTATAATCTGGATCTTTAAGCACCATGAAAATCAGAGGGGAAGAAAGCTGTCAGTTTTTTTCTCATTCACACATTCTGGCTGAAGTGTGGAGAGGGTTATTTTCCATCTCCCGTGGTCTTCACTGAAGGGCTTTAATTGATTTCAACAAGAGCTGGATGAGACAGCATTCGTAATGTCTGACTCCTGAGCTGATGTGACTAGCAAGGAACTCGCTGTGTTTTTCTCCATCTGCTCAGTGTGTGTGTGTCTGAGAAAGAGAGAATTTAGTGCAGCTTTTTCCTAAATTCAGTTGTTTAAATAGATTTCTGGATTCTCACTGTTAGGCATAATTTTTGAAATGATTGGGAGGCAAAATCGAGGCAATCAGTTTCTCTGTGATAGTGAAAGCATACTGGATTTGCCTGATTACACCAGATGTGTGTCACGCCACCCTCTCAGCTCACAACTTCAGATGATGGCTTGGGGAATATGCTGCCAACTTCCTCCATTTTTTGGGTGTTAACTCAAACTTACTTGCTTAATGAAGGCAGATTAGTTCAAAGAAGAAGGTACAAGAAGAATATTTCTCATTGTAAAATTTGGTTTGAATCCGTTAAAAACTTTGCGTGGCTGCTGCACATTTTACGAATAAAGGTAGCAAATTACATGTGTAAGCCTTGGTTTTTATTAAAGGAAGAATTTCCGAGGGGAATGAATCTTTTGTTACGTGGCAGCTACAGTGTATCAGTTATCCATGGTCTGCTCGGTGTCTTGCTGGCCACTGCTGAGCTGGGTATGTGGCCACTGCAGCTGTGTTTCAACACCAGTAATTTGTCGGTACAAGGAGGTATTATCATTCCAGCAGACACACAAGTTCAGGAGACAGAAAAGTCTCCTTCTTTCTCTTTTCTGCTTCCAAGGCAAATTACAGTGATACAGCTTCACAAGTAGCAGTATTTAGCTTTGCCTTTTGAGGGGTTTGTGTGGTTGGTTTGGTCAGACACTGCAACAGTAACAGAAACAGATAAAAGAATTTTAGTAAAATAGAGATACTTTCATGTCAGTGGCTGGTAGTGGGTATGTAATGCATTTTAAAGAAAGATTGTTGGAGAAGAGATATTGGGGGGAAAATGGTGATTTGGACTTTTTAATTTCTTTGGGGAAAAGATTCAATCATTCACAGTCTAGTCTAGAAAGCAGTGTAGTCAATTATGCTGTTAGGCCCTAGTGTAGCATGATGTAAGCTCTTGTAAATTAAGAAGGAATCTCCATTACCTGCAGCTGCTTCACCTGAAGCCCCTGTTCTAGTGGGGTTTATCTAAACCAGAAGGATTACAGGCTAATTTGGTTTTACAGGGGTCCTATTTGGTAGTACCAATGAGGTTCCAATTCCAGTGTTTAACAAATGAATAATCTTTTCACTTTCTGGATTTAGGCCACTGGACAATGGTTTTCCACAGACATGCCAAGAACGAGTTAAGAAAGACTTTGCAGGTGGATCAACTACAGTTTCTATCACAGTAGCTGAGCAAACTGCAGGACTTTGCACCAATGCAAAGTTGTACAGGAATTCCAGACCCCCCCCCCCCCCCCCCCCCCCCCAGTTAGAAGTAAAACCTCATTGGCTGCTAAATGGCATTGGCGGGATCATTCTGTGTTTATTTCTAGTACTTTTTTTCCCTGAGCACAAGGCAGCAGCTATTGTGGTCAGTGTACTGCTTCAGCAGTTCAAAGCCCTGCCTGGTGGATTGGTTGGAGCTTGGGTTTTAGGCAGCCTCTCACTTCTTGTCTTCTTTGCCCTTGTGCCCCAACCAAAAATGCCTTTTACTGGCAGCATTCATCTAATGTTTGTAGTTTTGCACAGCAGGTAATTTGGGGAAGAGTAACAAAGTTTGCAGAGCATGTGTATTTCGGCAAGAAAAGGCAGCAGGTGCCTGCTGTGCGGGTTCTGGCTGTTGTCAGGGTAACTGTGTGCCACTTTGCCTTGTCTTATTGAGGTGAATAAAAAGTCACACAAACCTGTCTGCAGAATGATGCATCTGGAGGTATTACAGCTTTCAAAGGTTCAGCAGTATGATTTCAGTGAAGAGGAATGCCTTTTTTATTTTTACCTGAATGCTGGTGTATGTAGTTACTTTTTCCTTTGTTCTTTAGGAGGAAGAGTGCTTTGTCTTGTTGGGATATTTTGCCTACTGGTGTGCTCTTCATTAATCTAGGAAATGTATTAACCTTCATTTTCTTCATATTTTCAATTACCTTTTCAATTAAGGTGTTCAATTACCATTAGGAATCCCTAATAATATATGAGAGAGAATTGTGCTAGGCACTTTACACCCACAGAAGGGACCTTTACCTAAAGTACATAATGCCAAAATATGAAGACTGTAAGTGGCACTTGGATACAGACAGTCAGAATCACAAAGAAATAATTAATTAGTGTTGATTGGCACAGTAAACAACAGTATCCATACATCATAACTTTAATTATCTTCAGATTGCTTTGAGCTATGTGTTTCAGAGATGATTTTCAACTAGGGAGGAGGAGTTTTGATGGGGGATGCTGATTGCCTTTTCTGCTTAATTTTTGCATTGACAAAAATGACTCTTCAGAAAGACCCAAACCAGAAATGGATGTTTTGAAACATGACTTTTGTCATTTGTAATATTCACGAAGGATAAGAGAAAATGGCCTCAAATTGCACCAGGGGCAGTTTATATTAGATGTTGGGAAAAAATTTCTTCACTTCAAGTATGGTGAAGCATTGGAACAGGCTGCCCAAGGAAGTGGTGGGGTCACCATCCCTGGAACTTGAGGATGTGGTTTAGTGGTAAACAGGGCAATGCTGGGTTAATGATTGGATTCAATGATCTTAGAAGTATTTTCCAAAGTTAAGGATTTTATATTTGAAGTATTTCACACCTAGTCAGACCTGGAGCCAATATAAATAGATTGTCTTAGAAATAATTGTGGAAGTGAATTATTTTTTTTTTTCTTAACCATTTTTACCCTGGCAGTCAGGTAACTGCTTGGATACACATTTGTACTGGTCCAGTTAAGCTGGTAAATGAAATATAAAAACAGCCCTATAGGATAAGATGCAAGTTTCTAGAAGAGTTAGGAGCATTTGAAATTGTAGAACCCAGTATCTCAGTGAGGTAAAGGGCTTGTCACTCACCTGCTTTGCAGTTGGAAAGCTGGTAATTCACCTTCCTATGCTCCCCTGCCTTTCCTTTAGCAGCTAGAAAACAATCGAGTCCTTGTAGGGTGTTCATATTCTTTTGTGGTAAACCTGAGAGTTGGGATATTAAAATTTTTATTTCCATGTTGCACATACCCATATTCCTAGCCCATGGAATTTCACCCGCTTTCTGGTTCTGGAAATTGAACACAAGAAAGTTTGTTTTGGCAGATATAAAAAATATCGGTTACTGCACATGTTTCTTTTTAATAAATGCTCTGTTTGATATTCTGTTCCTACACTGGTGGAAATTCAGTTTGTTTTGGGGGATTTGGTCAAGGTTTGGTCAATATTTTGTCAGTGTCATCTGCATCAGCTCCCCAGGTGACCCTGTGGGAAGCCCACACTAGAGCAGGCTCCTGCCAGGACCTGCAGAGCCTTGAAGAGGGGAGCCCGCGCTGGAGCAGGTTTGCTGGCAGGGCTTGTGAGCCCACGAGGGCCCATGCTGGAGCCCGTCCCTGCAAGCTGGCACGCCACAGAAGGAACCCATGCTGAAGCAGTCTGGCAAGAACTGCAGCCCATGGGAAGGACTCATGTTGGAGAAGTTCATAGAGGACTCTCTCCCATGGGAGGGAAATCTCAGTGAGATAAACCCTGGAGCAGGGGAAGGACTCCTCTCCCTGAGAAGGAAGCAGCAGTAGAAACAATGCGATGACCTGACTGTAACCCCCATTTCCCATCCCTATGTGCCACTGCAGGGAAGGAGGTGGAGAATTGGGAATAAACTTAATCCCAGGAAGGAGGGAGGGGCGGAGGAAGGTATTTTTACGATTTGTTTTACTTCTCATTATCCTACTTTGATTCTGATTGCTAATAAATTCAACTAATTTGCCAAAATCATGTCTGTTTTGCTCATGACAGTAAGTGGTGACTGATCTCTCCCTGTCCTTCACTCATGACCCTTTCATTAAATTTTCTCTATCCTGCCCAGCTGAGGAGGAGCATGATGGTGTGGTTTTGGTATGTACCT